GTTGGACAAGATGACCCTTAGAGGTCCCTTCCAACCCAAACTATTCTACGATCCTATATTCAAAGGCCAAGTCATGAAGAATGTAGCAGTATAATTAAACACATCAGTATTCTTAATACTGGTGACTGATGTTCAAATATTCTTTAAGAGGTAAAAAATGTCATGAATTTGCTTTAAATGAAAAATGGTCTGCCTCTGGAACTATGGGGAACAGATCAGCAGCTAAAATGCGTACAAGAAAGCCAAGGAAGTCTGGACTCCAGTTTTGAATGGACAAACTGGAGTATAATGTGACAGGTATACTCCAGGCTTTAACACCTCATACTTTGCCATCAGGCAGTGCTTGAGAAAGCTGAAAATTCGAGATGGTCTCTATTACAAGACAACTAAGGGCACAGATGGGACAAAATTTGCTCTGCTATACTACAGCTGAGTAATCCCCATTTATCATCTTTATAGAAACTGTAAGCACTCATCCAATTCTGATTAAGCAAAAAGTTTGTTTTTTTTCTTTTTTTTAAGAAAAAAATATTACATTACAAAATAATACAATATAGTCTACTAATCCCTTTTTATCTTCTTTATAGAAAATATAAGCACTCTTCTAGTTTTGATTAAGCAAAAGATTTTGGGGTTTTTTTCTTGTTTTCTAAGAAAAAATATTTTTCAGTATGAAATTAAAAATAAAGTTTACTACAACCATTCAGTCAAAACTTCTGCAGGAGAAAGCTAAAATGCTATAGCCATTTTCTCTATTACATTAGTCAACTTCATGATGATTTTTTGCCATGATGCACTGTGGACACAACAGCTGACAAAAATGAAAAATAAATTACAAAGGTAACAATTACTTTCTAGAGCAGCATCTATCCACAGGATTTATATTCTAACAGTAGGGGTAATAGTGGTAGAATGCTACAAAAACTCTCAATTGAAACACTCAATTTTATACGTGCTATGAAAATATGAGCATGAATATATTTTCCTATTGTATAAATAAAGATTTTAAAATTACATAAGAAAATTATGTCATGTGGAAGTTCAACTAATACACTGCATGCTACTGTACTAAGACAAATAATACTGAAGTGTTTATATAAATTTTTAGAAACCAGCAGGGGGTGGGGAGGGGGGAGAACACACTGGTCTTAATCCCAATCCCA